GTTTGCTAATGCTGTGGGGCTGTGTGAGATTTTCCGCTCCAGTTATCATCCGAAAACTTTCCGCCAATTCGATTTACCTGAGTTAATTACGTTTTCAAATGTTAAAGCTTTACGTCGGCCCACCGCGCATTGGCCACAGTAGACGCGAAAATAAATCAAATACATTTGTCTCAAAATTTATCTAATATATAAAATTCTCGTGTCACGGTGTTTGTAATTAAACTCCTCCGAAACGGCTCGACCGATTTTCGTCTAATTTTGTGTATTTATTGGCCAGGGTAGAGAATCAGACAACATTTATTTTTCATCCCCCTAAATGTTAAGGGTGGTCCACCCATAATATTTTTTCTACCCTACAATTAATTTATATGACAAAACAACGTTTGCTGGGTCAGTTAGTATACAACATAAAATTCAATATAAATGGAAGAATAACCGAAATTACATTAATCTCAAAAATTATTTCACATCAGATGAATAAGTCAACATAATCATGAAATCAGGGTGTCACTGCTGCACGAACGGGCAGTTACGTCCGGGGAATTACCACGACCTCACAGAAGATCGGCTCGAAATGTAAGAGTCATACTTCTGCCTTCCGTCCCGTGAGTGGGGTAGCCAGGGCCCACTTTATTAAAAGGTAACTCATCTGTAACCCTACGGCATTGCAAATATCCATGGGCGGCGGTTATCAATTAACGTCAGGTGAACCGCCATTTGCTACCTTCTAACTTAATAATTTTTAACAAAAAAAAACCGACTTCAAACAGTAAATTTAAAACATTGTTAATACCTATAACATTGGAGGATTGCCCTCCATTTCTCTTAGATGCCATCTTCAGATCTGGGTTTCCTTATCATGGTTCTCACCCTTGGGATATCTACTTTCTAACAAAAAAAGAACCATCAAAATCGATTCACAAACGACGGAGTTATCCGCGAACAAACAAAAAATATATAGTTAAAAAGTGATTAATGGTACTTAATCGGTTGATCATTGTATTATTAATTTTCATTTGGCATGCTCGAGTGGTTGAACGATGTCATCAGATATTGAATGATGCAATATCAAACTAAAAGATTGCCGGCTTAGCTGACGATGCAATTGTATCGCAGTGGCCAATGTTCAATGGCAGCATTAACACGTCCCGTGCGAATATCGCACGAAATATCGCAATTTGTCGGCACCTTAACACATCGACGGAGGGAGCGAGGTAGCGCCGCTCAGTTCCAGAAGATGTGTCAATTACATTGTGATGGGAGCTCATCGTCAGTACTCGGATTTCAGAATGGGAGAATTGGTGATTTTTCGAAATAAAAGCGTACTAACAGCCCGTCCCAATCTATAAGTCTGTCACATTGTTGTGAAAAAAGCTTTTGTGTAGAAAATGTTCTCACCAAGTCCACTACGCAACCCCAGCACTTAGGGAATTTCATAAATTGAGAAATAATGGACCGGTTTAAATTGAGAAGCCATTTAAATATCAAAATAAAGTTAATTTCCTCCTACTAAGCAAACATAGAGTTTTTGATTTTTAGCTGAGATTTTACTATTAATAGGTTGAAAAAAATTTTGTAGTACATCTTAAAATGTGTTGTGTTAGTAAATGTTTATCTATTTTATATGTTTCGCGCCGTTTCACAAAAATCTCAATCGTAAATTTAATTATCTTTAATGTATAATCTTTATATACAGATTAGCACTCAATGCAGCTTGTGCACGTAATTCTCAGAACAGGTCACAGAATTAATAATTAAAAAAATGTAGCTTTATCAATGTCTTAATATGTAACCAAAAAGCGAATACCAGTTATTATGGGTTTAACTTCAATATATCAGGTTTTGTTAAAAAGTCCTCATCACATATTTTGCCTTATTTGGTGAGAAATTTTCGAAACAATTCTAAAGGGAATTATTCAAAAGATGTAGAGTATCAGTGAGCAGAGTCAGATACATTTTTTATGTGAGAGTTGTGAGAGTATTTTTCTTATGTGAGAGAGTGAGAGAGAGAAAGAAAGTGGCAAGTGAGCTGGGGTATCATCTGATAGCAGGTGACAACCACCGTCCATGGACATTTGCAACACCCGTAGTGTTGTAGAGACGTTGTCACGCATATTTCTTTTATATTTTCACATTTGGAAACTCGTCTTACTTATGTGTGCGTATTCGCAGAATCCTTAAACAACATCTATCTCAACCTTACGCGTAGCCTTATCGGGGGGGAAATAGCAGGGAACAATTTCCTTTATCATCTCGGTCCGACCAACGCTGTAAGACGGCGCGAGTTTAATTTCACCGGCCCATATATTTTAAAACGGGCCCCCGCGACTACATTTTACGCGAGAGGGAGGCATATATTGCGGCATCTTAACGGCTGGATTGTTTTATCGCGCTCATTATAAACGAATCTGCCAGCTAGTGGGGTATTAATTTACACCCGTGCCGTGTTCCTAGGATCGTCTGCCCGTGCCCCTTTAATGCGAACATTTCGGAATTTAATGACCCCCTACTTAACCCACAGTCGGAACGCTATCCGTCACCCGCCTTTTGTAGTTAGAAGCATCCGGTGCTCTGGTATCCGATTTGGATCTACACGCGATTATGACGTGTAATTATCGTCATCGCCTCGGTTATAGAGTTTAGTTATGATCCTTATAATTGCGGCCTATAATTAATCCACTGCTGAACTCAGTCACTATTAACTTTTACGAGATCATTGAAATGTAAATGACTTTGCTGATTTCTGTTTTGAATCTTTCACGAGCATTTAGCTCTTCAGATTAGGTAGGTATATCGTTCGTTCAACGAATCGGCCGAAACTCAGTTCAGAATGTAACGTTAATGTAACGATTTTTTACAGGTTCAAAATTATATATTCATACACGTTTTAATAGGCTGTATTACGACTTTTATGGATGATTATTTTGCAAGTTGCATGCCCACGTTAATTTACATAAAATGACAGGATTCACGCGAAATCAAAAATCAGGTGTTAAGAGCAAACAAAATATGTTAAAAATGGCAGCATTCTGTCAAGCAAAAATTCATTTTTTTCATAACCCTAAAACTTCAAATAAACAATTCGTGATTACCAAGGTTTTTAAAGTCCTATGTCTTCTTATAATTCTAAATTATGTTTTCATCTTACTACTACTTATTACGGTGGTAGGGCCATGCAACAGTATCCGCTGTTGCACGAATGGGCAGGTCCGTCCGGGTTAGTACCACGACCTCACAGAAGACCGGCGTAAAGTAGAAGTTTTGCACTTCTGCGTTTCGTCTGGTGAGTGAGGTAGCCGGGGCCCACATTATTAAGAGGTGGCAACGCATCTGCAACCCTACGGGTGTTGTAAATGTCCATGGGCAGGCGGTCATCACTTAACATCATGTGAACCGCCAGCTCGATTGCCACTTTCACACATAAAAAAAATCTATTCGAGTTAATTCAATATTTGAAACTTAGAATTATTCAACAGAAAGTAGTGTATTCTATTTGAAAACGAAACAAGTATTTATACGACCAAATAAACAAAGTTCTCAATTTCTGAACGAAAGAGGCAGGAAAATCTATTTTAATAAAAAAAAAGAGAAAAAGAGGATAGAAACGAATCATAGATTGGGCCCTCTCATAACTGACCAACAAAACAGAGAAACTTCGTTAAAAGTCATTCAGCCAAAAGTATAAAGTATATTTCATTTGTGTCCTGACGATTGACGGTGCAATTTGATTTTGCTTAATGGGCTATCAACTCACTTATTATTAAAGGTCAAATAGCTCAATACAAGCTCAATACAAGTTTAGTAAATCTCAGATAGGCGTCGTTAATTACAAAGATTAGTTCGATTACAATTTCTGTGTCTGATAGGCATGAATAAAGAAGCTTGAGCTGCTGTTTTACCACAGTCGGACGTAGCGAAGATTAATTACTAACGTTTTCATATAAAAAAACGGTGGGGCTGTAAGCTAATATCTAGATTATATAACTGTTTTTGAATACGATCGAACTGTTTCGAAACAGATACCGAGCCCGTACTCTGCCACCGCCAGCCAAAAGTGAATTCGACTGACTCAAAGGCCCCATCCGCGAACGAATCACGATTGTCTGAAGAAATAGTGAAGTGCGGACGATAAATTGGATGAAGCAGCAATATTGGCGCACTCAGTGCCCCGTAATAGGCAATTTTCGACATCCAATCCCGGCACAATGGGACGAGTTCGCCGATTTAAATATTCCTAACGGCCTTTAGCCTTCGAGTGTTTACTTTGAGAACGATTGATGTGTACTGCTTCGCCCCTTTTACTTTTACTCGGATAAATTAGTGGAAAGAGGTCGTGAAAAATATTGTTCGATTTCTGATTTTGGTTGCACAGTGTTGGAATAATCCCGGCTGACTAATATGAGGATTTGTTTGTCCATTATTCACTGTAGTGCATCTGTTCTCGGTTTTTGCAATGTATTAGTTTTATAGTTGCTCGCAACTGAGAAGGAGATTGTGTTTGTTGTTAATTTCCTATTATACCCATCTAATGTAAAGAAAAATATTCAGGGACAAATCTTTAAACAAAGTTATCTAGTCCCAAACTAAGCATGGCTTGTACTTTGGGTACTAGGTAACTGATAAACACTACATTATAGATATATAAATCGCCCAGAGAACAGAAAAACACTGTTTTCATCATACACATTTTGCCAGTTACACTTACACTTCGCAGGTCTTCTGTGGGGTCGTGTTACTTCATTCACGCATTGGTCGGTAATGCGGTACATTTTTAAATAGCTCATTTATTTCTGAATGTAGCGTGACAAGCTTACCATTTTGTCGTCGCGCATCAATCAATGATTGAGATTGAAGTAATTAATTTGCGTCGCTGGTAGTAACGTAGTGGTGAACCTTGGAATTTCGGCCACCTTAGCCATTAGGCTATCGCTGACAAATATAATAGTAGTACACACAAACAAAGGTCCATTTCTCAATCGGGAAGAGTTTGAAAATTGGAGATGATTCCGCCCGTTCACCTCTACAGGTGCGGCCGTGCAATTGAAATCATATCAAAAAACCGGGTTCAAACGGTATAAATACGTGAAAAAACCTCGCATTTAGCCGAGCGGCAAAAGCGGACCCGCGTCGCGTCGCCTGCTCCGCATTGTCTGAAATTAATTTTCCTGTTCCTGCCGATGGGTGCATCTTTTATGAGATAGTGGAACGAAAGTGGTGGAAAAAAAGTGGGGGGAGGGGAAATCCTCCGCCGCCATTAAGGTGCAAATTAAATTTGTACGTGTGCCCGGTCGGTGCGTTCGACAAATTACTATTGTTGCCTTCGTACCGACAGATTTCGGTAATTGCATCTCCAACGCTGCCGGTTAATTGCTGTACTGCTCTGTCACCCCTTTGCTTTTGATCTTAGCTAATTTTTTCGTTTGCGAATTCATTAAATATGAGAGTATATATATATATTGTACGTCGTCAGTCTTTGTAGATTGGCGCGTATTGAATAGAGAAGAGTTCCGTGTGGTGGTCGCCGACATGCCATAGGAAAATGAAGGATTTCAGTCGTTTACTGGGACTCAGGATACTGTAATTAGCGTGACAAGTGTTTAAGTCAATGGTACGTAACTGCCGCATCGATATAATATCAAAAAAATATGTAATTTCATTTTAGTTCATAATTTTTTTTGTTTGCGATTGGAGTAGCTAATTATTTGGTACATATGAATTTAAGTCTGTTATTATTTCTTGTTCTTACGCATAACTTCTTATATTTTCTCTATTCGAGGGTTCTGAAAGTGTTTCAACGAAATAAAAATTGAAAAGATAGTATTGTTCTCGAAAGTGCCGTTGTGAATAGAAGTACAGATACAGTCACTCACAAATTTGAACCCTAATGCGGTAATCATAAATACCATATTAAATACAAAATACTGGCAGGTGGTCATATCTTGACTTGAGCAATTTGTATGTGTTAAACGTCCACAAATTTCAGAATGATTTTATCCTACAGGAAGGAGAGATGAGCGAGTAACTGAGACCCGACCTCATTGCTACGATCCAACCGCTAGACAACTGTCTTCAATTAAACGCGGGGACTCCCCGAAAAGTGAGCGGCAGATAGCGAAAGCTTACGCCGAGTGGCAGTTGTTGGTTCGCACGGTCGGATTTCGGGGGCCGTGTCGCAGTGGCGCCTGAATTATTGATGTTAATGAGCGCCTTAAGACCCGCGTGAAGGTATCAGGAGTGCGGGCTTCGTCTGTGTTGTTTTGGCATCCTCTCGTATGCGTGTGTATGCGGACGATATTCTGAAGCATGTAGTAGAAGTACGATTCAAAAATAAATTGCTGTTTCAGTGGTAACGGGAAAATATTCGCCAAGCGTAACAATAGACAAGAAGTAGATGTAAGATCTTCTCAGCTAATATCTGAACAGATTTAGTTTTGTGTAGTCATTGGGTTTCACTTTCATAAGTGCTGGAAACAAACTTAAATGGAATGAAATATTTTGATTTTCAGTTTTTTTTTTTCACTACATGTCAATCATTTTTTACTTGTATTGGTTAAGTTTTTTTACGACCAGCCGCTTGACCGCTGACTTCAAACCTCGTTGGGAATAAACACCCTGCTACGGAATTATTACCTGTGGGTCATAAAGATACTTATTCCGTGTGGGAATAGAATACGTGACCCCTGCAAGCGGTTTAGCAACTGCTTCACAAAGCTTTATGCTAAAAGTATTTTTTAATTTATTTATTGTTCGTTTATGCTTAGATATAACATTCATTTTAATTATATTTATCTTTTAGTATGAATCATGATAGATGAAAAGTTCGATTTATAAATTAATGCAAAAAGGCTTTTAATAAAGCAAACGGCCCAAACACTACATAACATCGCAATAAAGATATATCACAAGAAGCGTACCATTTAGATGTAATAATTTAATATGAGCATTGAGTAAAATAGTTTGTGATTTTCGATGGCCTTTAGATGACATGTCGTAGTTAAACGCACGCATGTGCACATGCGCGGCCCTACCCACAGCGGAGGGCCCAAACCCGTGGGCTCTGGCTAGCCCACCGGTTCTGCGTCAGATGAAGCTTTAATAGTCTCGGGACTGAAAGCAAAAACATCAGTTAATACAAGATACACAAGTTTGTAATTCATTCCGCTAAACGGTAGACTTTAAATTTGAAACGCTTCTTTGTCGCGCAAACATTTGCTAAAAGTGTAGATTAAGGCACTATTGCATAATTGAACTTAACTTCTAGCGTTTTGTGATTTAATTATTCCTCTTTTCAAAAGTATTTGTTAGACTGAGTTGATAATATTAGTCATACAAATATAGATAGTTTTAAGTCATCGTAACTTTTTTAGCTAAAACAATATTCAAAAAAAATATTTTTCAGTTAAGGGATACAAGAATACGAAGTGTAAGAAAGGCGAAATACAAAAAAAAAAAAAAACAATATTTTCTTTATCCGAACTCGGCAATTTGTAAAAAAATATGATTTATTTCTTCGAGGAGAAATCATAGTGTAATAACATCAAATTGATTTCGTAGTTTCAGCAATATGGAGAGGTCAATATAAAGAGCAATGATAGGCATTTGTCAGATGGGTTCAATATTATCTGATATATAACTCGGATAGAGCAGCGGGCGGGAAATAATGGGATTTCTCTTTTAACGCCAAACAGCTGTCAAAAGGAAAAGGCAGGAAGAGCGCGTAGCGAGAAATCTGCTTTTCATTCTGAGCGGGGATTATTGTTTTATACTTAAACGGTTTATATTCAAACTGGAATAAGGTCGTATTTTATTAAACTCAAATATCTTTATTCACTTATTGATCGTCAAAAAACACTACTACCGGTTCGGAACTAAACCACTCACCTGAGAAGAATCGGCGAAAGTTACTCGGTGGGGCAGTCTTTTTTTAACGCAGTTTGACAAAAAATAAAACGTTTAAAATGTATTAAATTCTTACTAATATTATTAAAGTAAAGGAAGTAACGAAACGAAAGTTTGTATGTATGGATGGATGTTTGTTACTCTTTCACGCAAATACTACTGAATGGATTTTAATGAAATTTTACAATAATATAGCTTATACATCAGAATAAGAGTAAGTATAAACTTCTAAGTATAAACAATTTCAAACAATTTGTAAAAGCTACCTTAAGGGCGTGTTTGCGAAATCTCGCGGAATCTGCAAAAATAAGGGGTTTTCAGGTACATTTTGCGGCAAAACGAAACGAATATAATGTAAGTAATAATTATCACATATAGATCCCTCCTTGATCTTCAAATGGTAGATAGTTTTTAATCGAAAATTTTGGTTTATAATATTGTAAATGAGAATTTTCGTTGCCACTTCGTTCAAAATGGACGATATCCTGTTGGGTTTAGGAACATTTTTCTCTTATTTAATAACATATTTTTTTTATTTAAAAATATTTTATGTAAGCACACATGTTCAACTCAAAAAGGTAGCTACATTACGTATCAAAATTTTTGAAATTAGTTTCAGAAAAAACTAAAGATTAAAGTCTATTTCTTTCACATTTATATCTTACGCGTGAATCTTAAGTGATTGACATAAAGGTTATTTTACTGGTCACTTTTTTGATTTATTCCACAAAAACATTAAAGAAATATTAGTCGGCGCTCGGCTGCCGTCATGAGTGGTCACTGTGTCGCTTATAAACAGCAGCTCGTGAGGAAAAAAGATCGCTGTACGAATACAAAATATTTGTCGTAACAAAGTTGATACTTGTGTAAAGTTCGGACTTCGGACTACGAACTACAAAAGTAAAATTTAATTCACACTTTGTCATATTTTTACTAGAAATTAGTAGGGGTTCATATTTCATTACGGACTTGATGGAGTGACCTGAAGGTGTACTTCGAGAACTGCTACTGGAACTAACAGACGAGATGAGCTATGTGTGTCGAGTTTGGGCTTGTTTTGTTAGGTATGGTGAGACCTTGCCTTCTGACTAGATGGAGTGACCTGAAGGTGTTGTACTTCGAGAACTGCTACTGGAACTAACAGACGAGATGAGCTATGTGTGTCGAGTTTGGGCTTGTTTTGTTAGGTATGGTTATACCTTGCCTTCTGACTAGATGGAGTGACCTGGAGGTTGTACTTCGAGAACTGCTACTGGAACTAACAGACGAGATGAGCTATGTGTGTCGAGTTTGGGCTTATTTTGTTAGGTATGGTGAGACCTTGCCTTCTGACTAGATGGAGTGACCTGAAGGTGTACTTCGAGAACTGCTACTGGAACTAACAGACGAGATGAGCTATGTGTGTCGAGTTTGGGCTTATTTTGTTAGGTATGGTGAGACCTTGCCTTCTGACTAGATGGAGTGACCTGAAGGTGTACTTCGAGAATTGCTACTGGAACTAACAGACGAGATGAGCTAGCTATGTGTGTCGAACGAGTGTCCTGAAGGTGTACTTCGAGAACTGCTACTGGAACTAATAGACGAGAAGTGCTACGTGTGTCGAGTTTGGGTTTGTTTTGTTAGTTATGTTGAGACCTTGCCTTCTGACTTGATGGAGTGACCTGAAGGTGTACTTCGAGAACTGCTACTGGAACTAATAGACGAGAAATGCTACGTGTGTCGAGTTTGGGTTTGTTTTGTTAGTTATGTTGAGACCTTGCCTTCTGACTTGATGGAGTGACCTAAAGGTGTACTTCGAGAACTGCTACTGGAACTAACAGACGAGATGAGCTATGTGTGTCGAGTTTGGGCTTGTTTTGTTAGGTATGGTGAGACCTTGCCTTCTGACTAGATGGAGTGACCTGAAGGTGTACTTCGAGAACTGCTACTGGAACTAACAGACGAGATGAGCTATGTGTGTCGAGTTTGGGCTTGTTTTGTTAGGTATGGTTATACCTTGCCTTCTGACTAGATGGAGTGACCTGGAGGTGTACTTCGAGAACTGCTACTGGAACTAACAGACGAGATGAGCTATGTGTGTCGAGTTTGGGCTTATTTTGTTAGGTATGGTGAGACCTTGCCTTCTGACTAGATGGAGTGACCTGAAGGTTGTACTTCGAGAACTGCTACTGGAACTAACAGACGAGATGAGCTATGTGTGTCGAGTTTGGGCTTATTTTGTTAGGTATGGTGAGACCTTGCCTTCTGACTAGATGGAGTGACCTGAAGGTGTACTTCGAGAATTGCTACTGGAACTAACAGACGAGATGAGCTAGCTATGTGTGTCGAATTTGTGCTTGTTTTGTTAGGTATGGTGAGACCTTGCCTTCTGACTAGATGGAGTGTCCTGAAGGTGTACTTCGAGAACTGCTACTGGAACTAATAGACGAGAAGTGCTACGTGTGTCGAGTTTGGGTTTGTTTTGTTAGTTATGTTGAGACCTTGCCTTCTGACTTGATGGAGTGACCTGAAGGTGTACTTCGAGAACTGCTACTGGAACTAATAGACGAGAAATGCTACGTGTGTCGAGTTTGGGTTTGTTTTGTTAGTTATGTTGAGACCTTGCCTTCTGACTTGATGGAGTGACCTAAAGGTGTACTTCGAGAACTGCTACTGGAACTAACAGACGAGATGAGCTATGTGTGTCGAGTTTGGGCTTGTTTTGTTAGGTATGGTGAGACCTTGCCTTCTGACTAGATGGAGTGACCTGAAGGTGTACTTCGAGAACTGCTACTGGAACTAACAGACGAGATGAGCTATGTGTGTCGAGTTTGGGCTTGTTTTGTTAGGTATGGTTATACCTTGCCTTCTGACTAGATGGAGTGACCTGGAGGTGTACTTCGAGAACTGCTACTGGAACTAACAGACGAGATGAGCTATGTGTGTCGAGTTTGGGCTTATTTTGTTAGGTATGGTGAGACCTTGCCTTCTGACTAGATGGAGTGACCTGAAGGTGTACTTCGAGAACTGCTACTGGAACTAACAGACGAGATGAGCTATGTGTGTCGAGTTTGGGCTTATTTTGTTAGGTATGGTGAGACCTTGCCTTCTGACTAGATGGAGTGACCTGAAGGTGTACTTCGAGAATTGCTACTGGAACTAACAGACGAGATGAGCTAGCTATGTGTGTCGAATTTGTGCTTGTTTTGTTAGGTATGGTGAGACCTTGCCTTCTGACTAGATGGAGTGTCCTGAAGGTGTACTTCGAGAACTGCTACTGGAACTAATAGACGAGAAGTGCTACGTGTGTCGAGTGTGGGGTTGTTTTTGTTAGTTATGTTGAGACCTTGCCTTCTGACTTGATGGAGTGACCTAAAGGTGTACTTCGAGAACTGCTACTGGAACTAATAGACGAGAAATGCTACGTGTGTCGAGTTTGGGTTTGTTTTGTTAGTTATGTTGAGACCTTGCCTTCTGACTTGATGGAGTGACCTAAAGGTGTACTTCGAGAACTGCTACTGGAACTAACAGACGAGATGAGCTATGTGTGTCGAGTCTTGGGCTTATTTTGTTAGGTATGGTGAGACCTTGCCTTCTGACTAGATGGAGTGACCTGAAGGTGTACTTCGAGAACTGCTACTGGAACTAACAGACGAGATGAGCTATGTGTGTCGAGTTTGGGCTTATTTTGTTAGGTATGGTGAGACCTTGCCTTCTGACTAGATGGAGTGACCTGAAGGTGTACTTCGAGAATTGCTACTGGAACTAACAGACGAGATGAGCTAGCTATGTGTGTCGAATTTGTGCTTGTTTTGTTAGGTATGGTGAGACCTTGCCTTCTGACTAGATGGAGTGTCCTGAAGGTGTACTTCGAGAACTGCTACTGGAACTAATAGACGAGAAGTGCTACGTGTGTCGAGTTTGGGTTTGTTTTGTTAGTTATGTTGAGACCTTGCCTTCTGACTTGATGGAGTGACCTGAAGGTGTACTTCGAGAACTGCTACTGGAACTAATAGACGAGAAATGCTACGTGTGTCGAGTTTGGGTTTGTTTTGTTAGTTATGTTGAGACCTTGCCTTCTGACTTGATGGAGTGACCTGAAGGTGTACTTCGAGAACTGCTACTGGAACTAATAGACGAGAAATGCTACGTGTGTCGAGTTTGGGTTTGTTTTGTTAGTTATGTTGAGACCTTGCCTTCTGACTTGATGGAGTGACCTAAAGGTGTACTTCGAGAACTGCTACTGGAACTAACAGACGAGATGAGCTATGTGTGTCGAGTTTGGGCTTGTTTTGTTAGGTATGGTGAGACCTTGCCTTCTGACTAGATGGAGTGACCTGAAGGTGTACTTCGAGAACTGCTACTGGAACTAACAGACGAGATGAGCTATGTGTGTCGAGTTTGGGCTTGTTTTGTTAGGTATGGTTATACCTTGCCTTCTGACTAGATGGAGTGACCTGGAGGTGTACTTCGAGAACTGCTACTGGAACTAACAGACGAGATGAGCTATGTGTGTCGAGTTTGGGCTTATTTTGTTAGGTATGGTGAGACCTTGCCTTCTGACTAGATGGAGTGACCTGAAGGTGTACTTCGAGAACTGCTACTGGAACTAACAGACGAGATGAGCTATGTGTGTCGAGTTTGGGCTTATTTTGTTAGGTATGGTGAGACCTTGCCTTCTGACTAGATGGAGTGACCTGAAGGTGTACTTCGAGAATTGCTACTGGAACTAACAGACGAGATGAGCTAGCTATGTGTGTCGAATTTGTGCTTGTTTTGTTAGGTATGGTGAGACCTTGCCTTCTGACTAGATGGAGTGTCCTGAAGGTGTACTTCGAGAACTGCTACTGGAACTAATAGACGAGAAGTGCTACGTGTGTCGAGTTTGGGTTTGTTTTGTTAGTTATGTTGAGACCTTGCCTTCTGACTTGATGGAGTGACCTAAAGGTGTACTTCGAGAACTGCTACTGGAACTAATAGACGAGAAATGCTACGTGTGTCGAGTTTGGGTTTGTTTTGTTAGTTATGTTGAGACCTTGCCTTCTGACTTGATGGAGTGACCTAAAGGTGTACTTCGAGAACTGCTACTGGAACTAACAGACGAGATGAGCTATGTGTGTCGAGTTTGGGCTTATTTTGTTAGGTATGGTGAGACCTTGCCTTCTGACTAGATGGAGTGACCTGAAGGTGTACTTCGAGAACTGCTACTGGAACTAACAGACGAGATGAGCTATGTGTGTCGAGTTTGGGCTTATTTTGTTAGGTATGGTGAGACCTTGCCTTCTGACTAGATGGAGTGACCTGAAGGTGTACTTCGAGAATTGCTACTGGAACTAACAGACGAGATGAGCTAGCTATGTGTGTCGAATTTGTGCTTGTTTTGTTAGGTATGGTGAGACCTTGCCTTCTGACTAGATGGAGTGTCCTGAAGGTGTACTTCGAGAACTGCTACTGGAACTAATAGACGAGAAGTGCTACGTGTGTCGAGTTTGGGTTTGTTTTGTTAGTTATGTTGAGACCTTGCCTTCTGACTTGATGGAGTGACCTGAAGGTGTACTTCGAGAACTGCTACTGGAACTAATAGACGAGAAATGCTACGTGTGTCGAGTTTGGGTTTGTTTTGTTAGTTATGTTGAAAAAAAAAAACACCCCTTTTGTGATAATTGATTTTGCCTAAAGTAATACTTAACACAATTGGTATCTACAGTAAAGCGTCTTTGAAATGGGAAATAAACACGAAAAATATTTGTGGTCTGAAAATGTAGTGGCTCTCAACTTAAATTATCAAAGACTTATGTTCATGGTTCAATGATTAGATACAACGTTTATACCTTTTATAACTCAATTGTTGTTTTAGATGCCAAGGCTTAAGACGTTTGGAAAAAGTTCGCGTAAGAAAATTTATGCCTGTAGACGTAACGCAAAAAAGGGGAAACAGTTAGTACTTATATGATTGTTAAAAATACATGTATTATTGTAAATATTACTTATCAGGATCCTTTTTCATAGGCAAAATAATGAAAGTAGTCGTGATTTGAGTATCGTGACTGATACGACCGAAGCGAGTCCGGAAAGCTATGACCGAATCACTTGTAGTACTTCCGATGACAACAACTTGGAAATGGCTAACGTAAGTTATAAATTGCTGTTATGATTTGTTCATTCTAATACTTTTTTTCACTGTCTTGTCTTATTTTTCTGTATTATTTTTTTTAGAACCTGAACAGTGAGGAAACAGAACCGTTCCAGGTTTCAGGAAGAAGGCTCGTAGAAATAGGTTATTTTATGAAACAGCTTCAAGAAATCGGAAACCATACTTCCATGTTTAAATGTAATTTAAGTACTGTTGAAATGTTACATGAAAAAAGGACTGGACTTAATTCAAATTTTCAAATGAAGTGTCAAATTTGTGGCGCAAAGTTTATATTAAAATCTTCTAAAGATTCGGAAAATAAAATGGATGTGAACGAAGAAGTCGTGGCCGGTACTATGACTATTGGTGCCGGAGTTACACAGCTAAACACAATTCTTTGTCATATAAATATGCCACCTATGTCGGTACGATTATATCAAATGAAACATGATATAATTTGTCGATTGTGGAAAAAAACTGCACAGCACTGTATGGCAGAGGCTGGTAAGGAAGAGAAGAATCATGCTTTATCTATTGGAAGCGTAAATGATGAAGGATTACCAATGATAGCTGTAGCGGGGGACGCATGTTGGTCCAAACGTTCGTATGGTACAAATTACAGTGCGTCTTCTGGAGTTGGTACTATTGTAGGAATTTTTTCTAAAAAAGTTCTTTACTATGGAGTAAAAAATAAGACGTGTATCATCTGTTCTCGAGCACATTCCAAAGGAGTACAATCACCGAAACATAGTTGTTTTAAAAATTTTCAAGGGCCTTCTACTGCGATGGAAGCAGTTATTATAACAGAGGGTTTTAAAACATCAATGAAGAGTCACGGACTCATCTATAGTCATTATGTAGCAGATGGTGATTCCAGTACATATATTAGTATCCGAAATGCTAGGCCATATGAAAGTGTGACTGTAGGTAAAGTAGAGTGCAAAAATCATTTGCTCAGAAACTACTGCAAAGGGCTTTTATCAATATCGAGCAATACTGCATATCCCATAAGAGCTCGAAAAATATTAAAAGATAATTATTTGCGGATACGATGGGGAGTAGATAGTAGCGTCAAATATTGGGTCAAGCAAAATGTTCCGTTTTCCGAAAAAATGGAAAATATTAAAAATGATATTACTAATGGTCCTTATCACATTTTCGGAGATCATTCAAAATGTGCATCATATTTTTGTAACGATGAAATCAAGAAACGTTCCGAAAATATGGTGCCGGAATTGAAAGTAAATGGACTGTTTCAAAAAATAGAAGATTTGGCTTATCGTTTATCGTTCCACGCCTACAGCTTCGTACACAACGAAACCAACAACTTAGTGGAGAGCTTTAACGCCAGAGTAGCGAAATTTGTTGGCGGAAAAAGAGTGAATTTTTCGCAACGTGGATCATATTCTGGCCGCTGTGCTGCAGCTGTTGTATCATTTAATTCGGGTGCCTTACAGTCGACCGTTCATAAATATATCTTTGATACTGATGCAAACGATGAAATAGTTCAGTTAGAAAGCGTTCGTCAACAACTAATGATAAAAAGAATTAAAAAAAAATTAAAAAAAAGAAAGTCGTCAAACCTACCACCAAAAAGGGAGTTCATTATGGAGAAGAATGCCAAAAAGTCGACATGGATGAAAAACAATATCAAAGAGCTAAAAAAGACTTTTTGACTAGCCTAGAAATAACGTCTGAACAAAAAGATAAGATCGAGCAAGACACAATTTTACAAAGTGCTAGTCCGCTATGGTTAGAAATTAGAAGAAAGTTGCTTACAGCTTCATGGTTTGCTATGGTATGTAAACGGCGCCCAAGCTCCAGTTGTGCATCTTTAGTAAAAAAGATTTTGTATGGAAGAGATTTGAGTAATATACCATCCATCAAACACGGTAAAAACAATGAGTACACTGCAATACGCGACCTTGAACAAGTTTTAAATACAAAAATTTGGCAATGTGGGTTGTCTATCGATAAAGAATTTTCTTTCCTCGGTGCAAGTCCTGATGGAAAGTGTGAACACGGGATAGTAGAAATTAAATGTCCGTCGTCGGCATATGAAATGGACCCAGAAGAAGCGATACGACAAAAAAAAGTTAACTTTTGGAAATACCCGTCGAATTCAAACCAATTGGTTGTAAATACCAAACATCAATGGTATTTCCAAATTCAAGGTCAGCTACGAATTACCGGGGAAAAGACTTGTGTCTTTGCTATTTGGACGGGCGCTGGAAAAATAAAATATGAATTCATATCCAAAGACGATAAATTCTGGAAGGAGAATATGGAATCACATCTAATTCGATTCTATAAGAACTGTCTCCTTCCAGAATTGATCGACCCAAGATTCAAAAGAAATATGGAACTACGAGTACATTCTTCACATGTGGATGATAGTATAATATAAACAAAAATTCAATAAATTTTTCACTACTTTTCTTTTCTTGGTGTTATTATTTTTTTTATTTCATTTTTAGGTACCAGCTACTAGCATGGCTTCATATGCCATGCTAATTCCAATTCATGAACGCTGGAAAGGGTTAGAAACGTCGGGAATTTAAATTAAATGCAATAGAATCCGTAAACTATCAATCTATCTACTATTCAATATACATATACAACCTATCTATTTGCATAATCAACGATTAGTTCGATGTCTTTCCTATCCTTGGCTCGGAGTGGGCTGCAGTGCCGTCCGCGTTATAAATAAAATGAATGAAATAAGTTTCTACTTCCTCCTCTTAAAAAAAATTAAAATTGAAATTTTAATTTACAGAAATAATTTTTAAATTTGTTTGAATTTTTTATAAAAATTATGAACAGAAAATTGCATTAAATAAATAATTAATTAAAACGCAAATTATCGATTAAATAATGATATCTAATAATATAAGAAAATTTCACTAAACTTGTTGAAAACAATTTAAAGTATGCTTAAAAAATAAATCACTTCAAATTAAATAAAAGTATCAAGTTGCATCAGTTACATAAAGTTTCGCCGCTTCGCGCTTGTCGCTGTGTGCGTGAGCCGTGCACGTGTAGTAGTACGCCTCTGTACCTAAAATTGAAGCGCGTGAATTCGTAAACGCGTCCTTAATGGCAAGGGCTTATTATAATATCCAAGAATACATAGAGGACAAGGATGTTTGGAAATGACTCTTGCTCTGCACTTGCAAGACCCCTGGCTGCTGCTGATTTTATACCCAAATAAGTGTGTATAATTGCATTAAAAAAATATATATATAACAAAAAGAACAAGACCGCAGAGTTTCTTGCCGGTTCTTCTCTGTGCAGGTCTAGTTTAGTGAACCGGTGGTAGATTTTTGTTGACGTTCAATAAGAGCTTAAGTTAGGCCTATATTGAATAAATATACTTTGACTTTGACTTTGACTTTGAAAGATATAGGCTATAATTTATATATATATTTTATGTAAATCTGTGTTTCTGTCTGAATGTTACGCTTTCAGCCTACTTTACGCAGACTTAGTCGTCGCGGGCAGCATCCTGTGAAGCATAAATACAGCGGACTGCATTTAGCGATGGAACTGTAAGAGGATAGTTGCTTTTGAACTGAAGGATTGACGTTACAAGATCAGCTTACAAGAGATAATCATTTAACAGATAAAATGCGAATTTCATCACTGAAGACGTAATCCAGACATCTGTACATCGTCGTAGAAACGTGCATGATTTATGCTCGAACAAGTGAGTACATTTCGTTCGAGGCATAAGTAATTTAACGCATTCGATTTCCGTGGAACTCCGATGAGCGATGTCAATTTCTAACCTCAAACCGTCACTGCTGCGCTCGGAGCGCCACCTTAAGTGTTTTATCGTGTACTGGCAGCTTCAGATGCTGTGAGAAAAAAAAAACGCATAGTACAGAAGGAATCCGGTGCTGTTAATTAATTATTTATTTACTGGCAGGTTTACTTTCCTATTTTATAAATAGTTACCAGCTTTTTTAAGATGCAATATCTTTATCTGTTAAATACATTGCATTTTTATGAGATTATATCTTATAATTTGGGAGAAACGTGTACGGCGCTTAATGATTCTGCCTACCCCTTAAGTTTCAAAGGTTATTTTAAGTCCCTCCCCTTTTTATAATGCAATAACCAACAGTCAATTGACTTGCAAATTCTATTGGTCTTCTGAGTAATATTCAATGTATGTACATACCTTTGCGCTGACCCTGGGCTACATTGCATATTCTTCATTCTGCATAATCGGAAGTGATGTTTATAAGTAGAACACAACATTATATGTTGTGTTGTTTAAAAGAAAACATAAAAGTATATATTGAATTTACGTAGGTTATACATACAATTAAAAATAATATTATTCTACTGTAAGTAATTTCAATATTATTTCAAAATTAATATTATTTGTATAATTAATTTTTTTTTGGTTGAATGTTCGAATCTAAACCGGGGCATGGAATTTGAATAATCTACACTCAGACAAAAAAAGTACTATCTTATACCATAAGGAGCTATTACCATAAGGATTCTTGATTGTTATTACTTAATTTCTGCTTTTTAAAGTACTCAACTACACAATTCTACCTTATCACACAGCTTTGGTAATGTTAAGAGCTATTAAGTACCTCATTTGTTACTAACCTGAAACAGGTTAACATGTGAACGTAGGAAAGTTTTTAATTCGAGTTTAGCCTAATGAATATATTTTATGTCTGTTTACTACGAACATTATTCTACCCCACAGAGTATTAAAACAGACAAAACAAATTGATATTACCACGTAATGGAAATGTTATTCCGCATTGTGTATTTGACGGGGCAATCACTTATATTGGGAACAGTTTTCATTTCTGAGTGGATTGCATCGCTTGCGGCCTGTCTTTCACAACGGCGAGATGCTCCACGAGTGAATGTACAAATGCAATGCTTTTAAAGGTCCGTCGTTATGTAAACGGATTTTATCCTGTCCCACACAATCGACTTATTACAGAATCAGGTATTAGTTGAAATATCTAGTCAGGAAGAATATATCTTTAACACAAATATAGCAGAAACACCTTATAACAGATATTTAATGCGGTACACAAATGGGCAGGTCTGTTCGGGTAAGTACCACGACCTCACAGAAGACCGGCATGAAGTGGAAATGCGTTTCATATTGATAGTTAGGTAGCCGGAGTCTCTTTTGTAGCACACTATTCAAATGTGGCAACGCATCCGTATCCCTGTGGGTGTTTCAAATGTCAATGGGCGTATATCACTAACATCAGGTAAATCGCAAGCTCGTTTGCTACCTTCTCTCATAAAAGAGGCGATGAACCAGCTAGTGATAGTCACCTAATAATATATACTGAAAAACGATCATGGGTTACTTTTTCTCATAAAATCAGATTCCTTTTTCGGAGCCACCACGGCGTTTCAGATTGAGAACCAGTTTCTAAATCAGAGTTGTGTTCGCCTTTATACCGTTCTGTTGTTGCTCCCGTGAGGTATTCAGAAACAAACTGCAGCCCACGCTTTAAATTAGGCAGTGCGGACACGCGGCGCGGCGCTCCATAAATCTCGTTACCTTGAATAATAAATGTGCAGGTTCTTAGCGTAACGCCTCGCGGTGTCGGCGCCTTTGAAATCTTTACGCGTAGTGAAAATACGCTTAGTGAGGTATAGCGAGATGTGTTTGCATAAATCGACTCTTAATTAACATGTAAAATAACACCAAATATCTCTCGTCTTGCCAGTGCCTTGCTAGCACGAATTTGAATTTCTATTTTTTGTTTTATATGTGAAAAGTTGCCAAACGAGCAAATGGTTCACCTGATGTTAAGTGAATACCGCCGCCCATAGACATATGCTACACCCGAGGGTTGCAGATGCGTTGAAAACCTTTTGAAAATTGGGCTCCAGTCACCTCACTCAGACGAAACCCGAAAGTATTATACTACCACTTTACTCCGGTCTTCTGTGAGGTCGTGGTACTTACCCGAACGAGCCTGCCCATTCGTGCAACAGCCGAGGCTGCTGCGTGGCCCTACCACCGTTAAATTCTATTGTGAACGGCCCACGCAAATGCTTCTCTTGCACGAATGGGCAGGCTCTTCAGGCGAGTGAGGTAACTGGAACCCACTCTTTTTAAAGGTTGTTGTTTATCGGTACGACCTCAGGTGTTGCAGATGCAAAAGTGCAGCAATATTCACTTAACGTCAGGTGAACCGCTTGACAACTTTTCTCTATATAAAAAAGAATAACAATGTTTTTAAGAGATATTAAAAACCTAAAAGTATAGGCAAATACCGTTCTCTTATATGCAAAATATACTGTTACTTTACTTAAATACATTCTGAAAAATTAGGACTTATATCAAATTTTTTTTGAATGATGTTTAACGAGAAAAGCATAGGTTTCTCACTTTCTTCGATTGGTTTAGCCGATGGGTTAGTTTACAATTCTGTAAACCCAACAAGCTCCGTACAAGATCCGGAGTGCAGATTGGAGTCGGCTCTCGAAAAGAAATCACATTTGTTCGGTGGAAGTCTAAAACCGATAGCGAGGGAGCCGCGGGCGCTGCGATCCGTTCAGAAATTAAAACGTTTCCTATATAGCTAATGGCCCCTTGGATTTGATAACAAAGAATTTCACAGTCCCGAGTTGTAGCCGGCCCGGCTGTTCTTGCAAATTGAGAAACTTTCCCAACGTCGAGAAATATACTCGAGTTTTGATAATGTAATTAGAATTCTGTACTATCGACGAGGGAGGTGAGTGAGTAAAAAGTGTCTGAAAGTTTTCCTCTTAATTCAATTCAATTATTCCATCCTCTGTACGTACTTCTTCGTTCGCCCGTTATGAAACTTTGATTGGTTTTATTTAAAGATAACATCGGTAAAAATTAAACACGAAACGCTATTTCAATGTCGAGTTTAACCGGTATTCAGTTAGGATTTATTTTCGCTTGCGATGGTTTGACGACGGTGGCCGAAAGTTCTCCGTATCATGTTGCAATTTGCATGAAACGATATTCGCGTGAATCCCCACCAGTTGCTTAGCAAATAACGTTCTAATTAACATTTTGGTAGGCGAATTAAAAAGTAAGATGGGCGCCATTGATTGGGAAAGCGTGTTTGTCGCAAAGTATTTTAAAACATTTCTGTAAGCACTCGCTACTTTTGATGTGCCAAGTTTATATATAGTAAACTTTATTCTGTGTATTTTTTTTAATAAATAAATAATTAATTACTTGACAAAACTGTGTTTTAAATACAAAACCATGTAATATTGTTGATATATTTGCTCTTGCATCTTAAAAAATTGTCATGCCTTATTATTTTCAGATGGTATTGTTTTGTAAAATTTGTTTCGGGTTCTATAAAAGAAACTTAAATAAAATCCGTACACTATTAAAGTTTGTACAAATTTCGAATATTCATTTTAAGATGCGCCAAGCATTAAAACAGAAAAAACAATGTAGATAAAATGCGTTGAGTGGTTAAAGCGCAAGGGCGCTTTTCCGGAAGACATGGGTTCGATTCCTGCGTCGGTGGAAAACTTTTCATCCATTTCCATTTAAATTTTTCATTTAAGTGCGATGTTAGTAGTGCAGAAAATCTTGATATAAAATTGATTAGATTTATTAAAAAGCATAATTGAGTATGCTTCACAAACTCCAATTCCTTTTAACGCTACGAGAGATTTTCATAAAAAGTTGGCCAATGGTGTCCAAAGTTAATCATTATTTGGTGCTAAATTAATGTGGACAACCTAGGGTTCCTTTTATTTTCTGTGCTTGATGTCCCAAGCACAGAAAAAAAAAAAGATTTTGTTCGTAAAAATCGCACAATCAAAAAACTTATTTATTCACCCCAATTCGAATCACAGATTGAAACTTAAATCATTATAGAGATGGCTGAGGCGACTCGTAAATAAGCGAAGCAGTCGCAGACACGAGCATAAATCCTAACGCTTGACTGATAACAAAACAAATTGCAAAGAAAAAAACGGCCAAGTGTGAGTCGGACTCGCACACGAAGGGATCCGTACCAATATCTATAAAAACGAAAAAAAAAAATCACGGGTGTTATATAGGACCCCGATTTAAAAAAAAAAATTCTGATTTTTAGTATTTGCTATAGCGGCAACAGAAATGCATCATCTGTGAAAATTTTAACTGTCTTTAACATGAGATACAGCCTGGTGATAGACGGACCGACAGACAGACAGCGGAGTCTTAGAAATATGGTCCCGTTTTACCCTTTGGGTACGGAACCCTAAAACGTATGAGAACGGGACTGTCCGTATCATCGATTTATCGGTGATACCGGTACGGAAGCTGCAGTCCTGAGGGCGGGGTAAAGTAGATTTTATAATAGGCTTGCGGCGTGAAGAGATTTAATGACACCCATTTCAATTCTCATGCGGTGCACGAGGTGACTAGGTGATTTTTTTTTATTTGTAATTGCTTTAAACAGGGGAGATTCAAATTGAAATTCTTCCGCGAGGCGTGACGTGAATGGATCCACTTGCCATGATACGAATTAACGGTAGGGTAAATGCTACGATTTAAAGTAATTTTTATATTTTATAATAGACTTAAATAATTAATAATAATTAATAATAATTTAAATTAAATTAATAATAAGTTATTAATTATTATTAATTTAAATTAATAATAATTAATAATATTAAAAAAAATAATAAATAATTAAAACTACGATCAAACTCATATGCACCAATGGACACGTATAGCGTATTTGTCGTACTATCCCGCTGAATAGTAAAGCTTCTGTAACAAACACAAAATTTCAAACACGATAAATTTGGGTTTTAGAATCGTTTTCTAATGATTCTTATGCTTTTGAGCTGATCTTTGCTAAAGCAAAGGGACATACGTGTTTATTCATATTTTATTTCATTAAGACAACAAGACTGGGACAGATAATTTTTGACTGGCCGCAAATTATGTGGACTTTGAACAATTTGTCAACAACTAAGACAGACGGAGATAAATAATCTGTCCCCATTTTATGGCTCTACTAAAATCTATAGCGTGACAGCGATCTTATTTTTAGTGACTTTACATGAGTCGCGTGGGTGATATTGATTATTTCGCGTTATTTATTTATCCAGGAAAGATGCAACTACTCTTGGATAAGATCCTACGAGCACTCCACAAGTGACATTATATTAATGCTTTCACTACTTGATATAAACAACAATTGACATTAACCGCCTTATTTATAATAAAACTCTTATGGAATGTATAAATATATATTAGTTAAAAAGTCTTTTTAGCGTATCTAACGTTCGATAAAAACCTTTATTCATAAGCATTTTATAAATGAAAAAATAATAAACTCAACTCAACATAATAAACCTCCCATAACTATAATGTCTATATTGAATATAATTTTGCAATTTCGTAGAAAAATTTGTGAAATTTGAATGATATAAGAATGGTTTCATGAGTTTTTATCTATAGATCGTTAACAAATGTTAAAAGAACACGAATGCTAAAGAGGCAAGTAGTGAAAATTAGATGCATGAACGTAAAGTTGTTGTTACAATTTTGTATAGAACTTCGCACTGTTTCTTAGTAAAATTGACTGTTTTTGCTTTCTAAGATTATCTTGAAAGTGCGATTTTGGCGGGTTCGTGTTATCGAACATCAACGAAAAAAACATTGACACGATCTCCATACAACAAAGGTGGCGGCGTGGAATGATTTGAACTAAGTCATAGCAAACGTCAGTAATCAGCTGACCAAAATCGACCATGTTTTGCGCTAATATACGTTTATCGAACGTTTATAGCAGGGTTCTGGCTTGTTTATATCAGAGACACTTTATCGGAGAGTTAACGAACGTTTTAGCGGTATAGAATGATTACGAACAAGACTTTTTGACAATCTATTTTTAGCGAGCTTTTAAACCTCCAATAACTTATTATGAATAAGAACGTAAATGTATACATCTAATAGATTATTTACTATCTGGTGTTTGAGGACATAGTAATTTATATACTTTACAAGCGACCCATCCCGGTTTCGCAAAAGGTTGCAATGTATTATACATATATACCTTCCTCTTGAATCACTCTATCTATTAAAAGAACCTAAGCACACATAGGGACAGAGAGACAGCGGGACTACTTTGTTTTATACTACGTTTTTATATTACATATTTCCGCCCACTTTTAAAATTTTCATCTCATAAAGGTATTTTACAATAAACAAACAACGCAAGAGCTAACCAACGCAGAGCGGGTCAACTAATCTCTACCATAAACAAACAATCGTATCAGATAGCATCTCTCCGATAGATACTAAGCCAGGTCTTAGGTCGTTCAGCCCGAAGCAAACGACCTACATGACCCGAGAATAAAGGAATAGAATTTCGTCTTCATTTATGCAAGTTGGATAGTATAATGTTTTAATGCTTTTAAAGACTATATATTTTTTAACAAAAAAAAGACTTCAAACAGGAAACTGATTTCTTTGGGAACCCATTATCAGATCCGTGTTTCCTTATCATGGTACCACCCTTGGGATATCTCCTTTCCAACAAAAAAAGAATCATCAAAATCGTTTCTTAAACGACGAAGTTATCCGCGAACACACATAAAAAAAAAACATGAAAATATACGGTCGAATTGAGAAACCTCCTTCTTTTTTGAACTCGGTTAAAAACCACTACAGCAACGTTGATTTTGGAAATTTGCACTTTTTAATAGATCGCTTTCATAGAGTCACCAGCGATTTGGCTGTGATCCAGTACGCTGGTTGTAATACTGCGAATTTTCCTCGAAAGCGATCACGGGGCGTTAATTATATAGTCTAGTGCATCTACAAGAGGACCTTCCCCGCCTACACTAAGCCCTTGCTAAAAGGCAAAAATTTATGAGCGCTCCGAAATGAATCTAATACATGGCTCTCTTGAACACCTAGACTGCTTCTTCGTTTTATACTTACCAATCAATGTACTGTAACATTGAATAGAATAGTATGGAATTTCTATAGGTTTAACTGTAGCTTTGATCTCCCGGCTCCGTTTTTAAGCCGGAAATCTTTTATGTTGGCAGTAATAGTCGAATGAAGTTCGCATTTCTTCGTTTTTGTGTTTGATTACTCAGGCTTCGGGGAATGCAGTGGTTTTTAAATATTCCTTTAGCATATTTGGTGTAAAATTACATTCTACGAGTAAATTACGAGTATGTAAAATATTTAACTACGTCTAATCTAATATATAAAATTCTCGTGTCACGGGGTTCGAACTTGAACTCCTCCGAAACGGCTCGACCGATTTTTACTAAATTTTATATGCGTATTCAGTAGGTCTGAGAATCGGCTACAATCTATTTTTCGTCCCCCTAAATGTTAAGGGGGTAGTCCACCCCTAAGTTTTTTTTTTTATTTTTTATATAAAACTTTTGTTTCTATTTTTTTATGACACAGCATACAAAAATACATACAACCCTAAATTTTCACCCCTCTACGCAGACGTAGTCGCGGGCAGCAGCTAGTATGTTTATAAAAGAGTTTTGATATCGATATTTTTTGACGATTATTTAGTTAAAGTTGTTAATTGGCAATTACTGATTTCTTGTGTAAATAA